GTTTGATCATTAGATCATAACTAAGCTTAAGGAAAGCTTAAGTTATCTTAAAATCAAAAGATAAAGGAGTTAAGGAAAATTAAATATTTGGAGTTCTTGAGTGAAATATTGAAGTAGAGTTTATAATAAGAATTGAAAGTTGAATTTGACTTGCCATCAATAAGAATAAGATATTTATGGAGTTAAAAAGAATTAATAACAAAGTTGAAAGTTTAGTAAGATTCTTAAATTTTAAGAATAATGATGAGATATGGGAGATAAAGATGGTTTATATGGATATAAGTTGGTATAAGTAATGATAGTTGAGTTTAATGACATGATAGGGGATTAAAATATAAGTATTGAGTGAAAAGTTGATGGTTTTCGGGCTTAAAATATAAATTCTGGGCAAGGTGTATCGATGCACATTCAATGTGTATCGATGCACTCTTTAAAGAAGAAACAGCGAATGCAATTAGTGCATCGATGCACCCCTTAAAATGAAAACATCGAAGGTGATTGGTGTATCGATGCATGGGTAGTGCATCGATGCACATGTTAAAGAATGCATCGATGCACTGTAGAATGTATCGATGCACTTTAAAGGGGAAATAGAAATAGACCTTTCTTTTGGCCTAAGAAATGATAGATTGGAGTATATCAATTGGATAGTGATATGTATCAATGTGTGATTATGTAGATATCGAACATGAACAAGTTCTGGAATGATTATCAAGTTAAGATTCGATCGAAAGAGAGAAAATCATAAGTGGATTAGAACGTAGTGAGGCCAAGGTGAGTGGAGTTGATTTTTATAAGATTATATGGAAATTGGACTTGTGATAAGTCTATTTCCTATAGTAATAGTTCATTAAGTCTTGATCATAAGAAGTATGTTAACAACATGAAGTGTATGTATGTTTGATTATATGAATTGATATGTTTTGTATGTGCTATGTGGTTTGCGTAAAAACACTATTAAGTGTTAATGAGAGAATATAAAATAAGTTATAAAATTATACGAATATAGAAGATCAGTCAAGTGATATATAGAAATGGAAATAGATGTCTATGAAGAGTTATAGGAGAACAAACATAAGTCATATGATAATGAAATATAAGACTATGTGAATACATGGTTATAAGATAAAATATGTAGAAATAGGAAAATATGATGAAAGTGAGTTCATGAGAAGTGATATGAACTAGGTAAACATGTGTAACAGTATATGCTTAATAGAAACATGAGTTGGACAAGTACATAGTGGTATGATCCATTATGAGAATTAGTATAATAGAGCTTTTTGATTTAATGAGAGTTAAGGGAACTAAATAAGATTAAATTATAGAATGAAATGGGAATAATATATCAATTAGGAAACTTGAATATAAAAGGGATGATACGAATATATAAGATAAGTTATATGCTAAAGATTTATGGAACTATATGAAAAGGTTATAAGGAATATATGAAATTGAATTAAGTAAATAGATTAAATTAATATATAAATAAAATACTATTAAACGATATATGTTTAGAAATACGACCTAATTTATGTAATCTAAGGGAATACAAAGAAATGAAGCATAAGGTAGATGATATGACATAAGTTATTATATACATATATGATATATGTTATCAAGTAATATGAAAGGACTCGGAAAATTGATATAAGCTATGTGGAAGTGTTCTAGGTGTTTCTATGTGCTATATGAAGTATATATGATTATATGTGAACAAGATATGATATGTAGGTTTACATGAACATCTAAGATATGATCTAAGCTATATGATATGATCTACGCGATTCTATGCACTTTGGATATATGTTATATAACATGGATCTATATGACTATGTGAGAAAGAATATAAGCTATGTGACATGTAAATGTGAATTATATGAAAATGCTCTACGCGTAAGTGAACTATGTGTATATATGAATATGTGAAATGACATAAATGATAATGCCCATGTTATGTGTCATGAAAGCTAGGGGTATAGTTGGCATGCCAAGAGTCGAGGGTCTACGCGGTCTTTCGGGACATATATGTATTCCTTGGAACATGTGTGATGTCTTTTGAGACACATACTTGATCCTTTGTATATGTATATGATTCTTAAGGAATTTTCTACGTGGTCCTTAGGGACATTTTATATGGCACTTCAGTGCAATTTTACGCGGCACTTCGGTGCAATTCTACGTGGCACTTCAGTGCATTTATACGAGCTGTGGTGATAGCATTAGTGCACAACCTCAATAGACTCATATATATATAGTTCTCAAAAGTGTACATGGGTTAAACAAAGAGATAACAATAAAGATGGTAATGGTGAAGTATATGTTTTTGTGATATGAATTGTATTATATGATTGTTATGATGATGTGCGTATGGTTTGAATGAGTCATATGTTGATGAAAAGTATGATTAAAGGATATAAATGATAATAATGTGGATAATAGAATAAGATTAATGATGGAAATAATGTGTGATGTGTATATGTGTACATTATATTATATATAATGATTGTGTGACATCATGAAGTAATATGTTCATACATGTTTAAGCATTTAGAGTTTCCTTTATAAATTTAACGCCTCACTAAGTCATAGACTTAGCGTGTGATTATTTCACACGTAGGTTAAAGAAGCAAGAAGAGAAGCAAAGAAGAGCAAGACATGTCAGCATCTCCCTTACAAAATTTCAAATTAGAAAATAGATGATTTAAATGTGTTTGGTTAATTTGAATATAGTTGGCATGTACTAATTGATTGAGTTGAATATGCTCTGATCGATTTTGATTATTTTGGTCAATTTATGTAAATAAACCGCTTTTATTTTAATGAAAGCTTTAAATTTTCTTTGAATTTTGTCAAGAGTCAAAGTTTGAAAAGTCAATGTGACACCTCAGATTCGTATTCGGGTCGGGTACGGGTTGGGGGTGTTACACTAGTAGCCTTGGCAACGTGTGCTACATTGAACTTACATCTAGAGCAGCTATATGTTAAAACATCTAGAGCAGTTATATGTTAAAACATCTTTTCTTCATGGAAATCTTGAAGAAGATATTTATATATTCCAGCCTTAAGGTTTTGAAGAAAAAGAAAAGAAGAACTTGGTTTGCAGGTTGAACAAATATCTGTACGGTCTAAAGCAGGCGTCGAGGTGTTGGTATAAGAGATTTGATTCCTTCATTATGTGCCTTGGATACAATAGACTTAATGCAGACCCTTGTGCTTATTTCAAGAGGTTTGGTGATAACGATTTTGTTATATTATTGTTGTATGTGGTTGACATATTGGTTGCAGGACCCAACAAAGATCATATTGAAGAATTGAAGGTACAACTGTCTATGGAATTTGAAATGAAGGACTTGAGATCAACAAACAAGATTCTAGGGATGTAAATTCACCGAGACAGAAGTAATAGGAAGATTTGGCTTTCACAAAAGAATTACTTGAAGAATATCTTGTCACGATTCAACATGCAAGATTGTAAGCCAATTTCTATCCCTCTTCCTATTAACTTCTAATTATCCTCCAGTATGAGTCCTAGAAGTGAAGAAGAGATGATGGAGATGTCTCCAGTACCGTATGCATCGACAGTGGGAAGTTTAATGTTCGCTATGATATGCACAAGACGAGATATGCACAAGACAGACATTGCAAAAGCAGTGGGAGTGGTTAGTCAGTACATGGCGAATCCATACAAAGAGCATTAGAATACAGTAAAGTGAATTCTGAGATACATCAAAGGGACCTCAAATGTTGCATTATGTTACGGAGGATCAAACTTACTTATAAATGTGTATGTCGATTCTGACTATGCAGGAGATTTGGATAAAAGCAAGATAAAAGCAAATCTACAACATGATATGTGTTCAAAGGTGCTGGTGGAGCTGTAAGATGAGTTTCAAAATTGTAGTTAGTTGTGGCTACATCCACAATAGAGGCAGAATATGTAACAGCTACACAAGCCAGTAAAGAAGCAATATGGTTGAAGATGTTATTGGAGGAGCTTGGGCACAATCAAGAGTATGTCTCTCTGTTTTGTGACAGTTAAAGCGCCTTGCATCTAGCAAGGAATCCAACATTTCATTCAAGGACAAAGCACATACAAGTTCAGTACCATTTCATTCGTGAAAAGGTGGAAGAACGAATGGTAGATATGCAGAATATCCATACCAAAGACAACATAACGGATTTCATGACGAAGACGATCAATGCTAATAAATTTACTTGGTGTCGATCCTCTTGTGGCCTGTTAGAAATGTAAGCAACATGAAGATATAAGGTAGAAAGAATGGTGTGAAGATATGATTGTTCCAATCAAATCTTCAAGTGGGATATTGTTGAAAGTTTGACTTATACACCGAAAGTGCAAAGTTAATGCACCGAATGAATTAAAAAGGGGCACCGAAAAGTAGCTGGTTTTTGTTGAATTTGGATAATGGGAAAATTGTAAATTTAGTCTATATACTTTAAGATATTTACAAGATTAATCCTTAAGCTTCAACTATAAATACCCTAACTCATTTAGCTTCAAAATCATCTCAAATCATTCTAGCTTTCTCCCAGTACTAGAGAATTTAGAGATTTTTCTTGAGAGTTGTTTTCTCTTTTTTATCAAGAGAGAATTTTTATTGTTTTCTCCTTGTTAGATAGAGAGAAGTTGTAATTCCTATTTTCTCATAATGAAATTCTTTTTACCCTATATTATTTAGGGATTTTTCACATAAAATTTATGTATTCTTTATCTTCATTTTTTTTCTCAAATTATCAATTGTGATTTTGCTCTATCCGATAGTAGTATTCTGCAACTAGTTATATTAATTAAATTAATTTAAATAATAAAGAACTAATATATTATTATATAAATTTATTTAAATGTTATATCTATCAACGAGTAACACACGATAATTTGATTGATACTAAATTAAAAATTTACTGACCTAATTAAAAATCAGAATAAAATGAATCATATAATGTGGCGACAGAGTGCGCTGTTTTAAATTGAAAATTCTAGATATTAACAACTTAGAAGAGAGAGGGTTTAGGGTTTCGCAACAGCAGCAATGGAGGGATTGCAGAATTGGGTCAGCTCCTTCTCCAAGAACCCGAAATCAGGATCTCCTTCTTTTTTGCCGGACCTCCCCTACAACCTTCGCGGCGGAGGCGGAGCATCTGCCTCTTCTTCCGCCTTATCTTCTTCCGATAGCGCTGGTGTTTTAGTCAACAGGCCTCCCAGGTATTCTTCCTTCATTTCAATCGACTTCACCTCCAATTATTTACAGCATTCTTCTTTCAAGTTGCAGGCGATTTGTCTCGCTATGGACCTGTTCGAAGCTCTGTGGAATTTGCTTTGTTGCTGGGATCATCGTCGGTTACACTCTCAAACGACGTGTACGGCGCTGGGCTTCCAAGCTTCTCAAACGATTAAAAGACGATTAGTAACATTATTAACTCCTTTTCGAATCCTGTTAGATTTAGTTTTATGAAAACGGTAATAGTTTGCCTTTGCCAAGGGCATTCATTTATTTTCTCCCCAAGAATTTCGAGAAAATGGCACATTATCTGACCTTTGCTTGATCTTTAATGTTCAGTGCTTTCGATACAATTTTTTTAACATCTTTATATTTCAATGCTATATAGTATTTTTCATCTTATATTTACACCTGAATTGGTTGATGATAAGTCGTGATTACAAAATAGGATTCTTCTTAGTTTATGAAATATAAACTCTATAAACAGAACTGCCAGAATTGAGTCATGTAGATTAAGTTACTTGAATCGAATCCTTAAAGAAAAACAATATTCTCCTTTATCATTGAGCTTATTCAATAGGTTTTTAGGACTTATATTTTAAAATCTAGACTCTAAAGTCTAATTGAAATTCTATTTTATTTATGATCGATTCAAGCATTGGATTATATCTGGGAGATAATGCCGATGATATCCTTTTAGGTGTGAATTATAGGTGTAGTCTAAGTAGAGATTAATACGGTTGAGTACTCTTGGCGAAAATTTTGTTAACATTAATAACGAGAATTTCAACAAGAAGTGAATGATATATATATAAAAGAGAACCCAGATTGAGAAAAGAAGCATATTGTGAACTCTAACAGAACATGGTATTAGTGAGTAGCATAATTTGATGATCTATGAACTCTCATTTTATGAAAAAGAGAGCAAATTCAGCTTTAGAATTTGAGCTTTCCAAGTCTAATAGGAAACGCATCAAATTTCAAAAGGATTAGCATTTAAAACGAACGATTCTGTAATTTTTAATTCAGTATTCTGTTCGACTTCAAACTGTTTGCTCTTTTGGGTAAATCTCCCCAAAGCGGACGAAGCTCTAGTGAACAAGAAGTAGCCAATGGACCCCACTAAAATGGGAAAAAAATATCCTATAGTTTCTTAAAAATTAGTCCAAATAGAAAAAATACACTTCCCCCCAAGCATGTATAATTTTTTCATGTAACTTAATAAAAGGGTAAATATATATTTTGATATCTAATTAGTTATATAAATTTAGTTTATTGATTCAAATCGGCATCTAAATTTGGTTTTTAAATTCAAATAGATACTTATAATTTCTAAATTCATATAAGAATCAAATTCATATAGTAGTTTAAACTAAGAAGTCAAGTTTAGGTATATAATAGGACCAGAAAAGAAATTTAGGTACCAAATCGAATATTGAAGACAAATTAAGGTACCCAAATCTATGTTAACCCTAACAAAAATTCTTGCCCGGTTTAATCTTTAAGCCTAATAATTAAACCTTTACCGAAGTAGGTAAGATTATATTCAGTATTTTATTTGAACAAAGAGATACAAATGGGGATGTAGCTCAAATGGTTGAGCGCTCGCTTTGCATGCGAGAGGTACGGTGTTCGATCCCCCTCGTCTCCATCCTTCATTGATTATCTTTTTAATTTCTCTTAAAATAACGTCGTTTTACTTTTGCCTCTCAAGTCCGCCTGCCCCCGCTTTGGGGAGATTTGTCTATATGGACAAACAGTTTGAATACTCAGCTGGAATTTATTGATATGTTTCTTATTAGGTTTTAATATACAGTCGTGTACCTGAATTTTGTTTCATTATTCAGTTTGGTACTTAAGTTTTTTTCTTGGATCCAATTAAATACCTAAATTTGGCTTCATGATTCAATTTGGTACCTAAATTTTTTTCATTCAATTTGGTACCTAAATTTTTTTCATTCAATTTGGTACTTGAACTAGTCTTTTTTATTCAACTTGGTAATTGAACTTTTTTTTTATTTAATTTGGTAATTGAACTTATCTTTTTTATATCCAATTTGGTACTTGACCTTGGCTCATTGATTCAAATTGGTTAATAATCATAAGTACCCATTTGGACCAAAAAGTCAAGTTTAGGTACCAATATGAATCAAAAAGTCAAATTTAGGTACCAATTTGAACCAAGAAACCAAGTTTATGTACCTAATTATATAAAAAAGGGTCCGGGTGCCAAATTGAACTTTGAGGGTTTAGGTACCAATTTATATTTTTCTTTTCATTAAGAGGACCAAGATAAATTTATAAATGTTTGGGGGACAAAGTTATTTTTCTATTGGACTAATTTGTAAGTATATAATTTTTAAGAAATAATTGTCTATTTACACTATATAATTAGATCATATCCCACACACACATATATATAATACGTAGAATAAAAATTATGCATATAAATATTTATCTTTAATACAACACGAACAAATATATGATAAAATCTGACATTTACTATTTTTTAATATAACCATTAATAGTCGTTAATATTTATAAACTCATTATGAATTCATTAATAAAAGGAAATTAAAAGATATCCATTATCAAGAAATTAAGAAAATTTTAAATATATAATATCTTATAATCACTTTTAATAATAAGAAAATTTTAAATATATAATATCTTATAATCACTCTTAATAATAAGAAAATTGTATAAACATATTATGAAAATCGATTTTAATAATTTAATGTTTGAACTCACTATAGTAAGATGGTGATCAGATGGAGTAACGAGTATCTGTCATTTTTAAGTAACACCTTCATAGAGACGGATTCGAAAGGCTTAAGGACAGCAATTGTCCACGCAGTGCCCATCTTCTCTTCTCCCATATGGCCATATCCCCTATGACCTAATAACCAGCCAATGGCATCCACCTACAATCTTCTTATCTTCCTTTTCCAAACCACTCTTTCCTATTACCACTTAACCTTCCTTTTTCTGCCTCAACCTTTAATGGCTTCTTCTCTCGGTCTCCCAACCCACACTGTGGCTTCTCACACTTCCAAGATCCACTCTCCTCTTCCTAAATGCCTCCGAATTCTATACAAATCATCACACTCACACTTTTATGGCTTTAAGTTCTCCCACTCTTCTTCTCCTTCCATCCCTTGTTTTTCCTCCTTTAAAACTCCCATTTCTGCTCAGGTGCATTGCTTTGTGTTGCTGGGTTTTTGTTGTTCTAAGTGATTTACTTCCACCTACAATCTTCTTATCTTCCTTTTCCAAACCACTCTTTCCTATTACCACTTAACCTTCCTTTTTCTGCCTCAACCTTTAATGGCTTCTTCTCTCGGTCTCCCAACCCACACTGTGGCTTCTCACACTTCCAAGATCCACTCCCCTCTTCCTAAATGCCTCCCAATTCTATCCAAATCATCACACTCACACTTTTATGGCTTTAAGTTCTCCCACTCTTCTTCTCCTTCCATCCCTTGTTTTTCCTCCTTTAAAATTCCCATTTCTGCTCAGGTGCATTGGTTTGTGTTGCTGGGTTTTTGTTGTTCTAAGTGATTTACTTATGATTATTGCGGGTTTTTCTTTTTGTAGGTGAATAAAGGTTCAGTGCCTCCATCATTCATGTTGAAAGATCAAGATGGGAAAAGTGTGAGCCTTTCCAAGTTTAAAGGGAAGCCTGTGGTTGTCTATTTCTACCCTGCTGATGAATCCCCTAGCTGCACCAAGCAGGTGACGGTTTTATTGTCTTAATAATTACATTTGGCTCTTTTTATTTCAGTAATGAGACATCTTGTTCAATGCTTGAATTTTGGTTGAATTATTGATGCAAAACATGGATAAACTTAGTGAAAACTTTGGGCAGGCGTGTGCTTTCAGGGATTCTTATGAGAAATTTAAGAAAGCAGGAGCTGAAGTTATTGGAGTAAGTGTTGATAGCTCAGCATCACACAAGGTATTTCAATAAATAAAAAATTGCTACAGAACATATTTTACATCGAAAGATTTGAATTTGGATCATGCAAATTGAAGTCTTGGGGTTTTGTAAGATTTATGCATCAAGAATCATTGCAAGATAGGATTTTAAATGTCATCAAATTGCTTGAAAAACTGACAATTACCGTTTTTCAAGTGATAAGGCATTTGCCCAGAAATATAGACTTCCATTTACATTGCTGAGTGATGAGGGCAACAAGGTGAGGAAAGAGTGGGGAGTACCGGCCGATATATTTGGATTGTTGCCTGGAAGACTAGGGGTGTTCAAATAACCGAACTAATTCGGTTAACCGATCGAACCGAATTAGTTCGGTTAATTCGGTTAGGTTACCGAATTAGTTCGGTCGGTTAACGGTTAAGAAAATTTTTAGAATTCGGTTAACGGTTAATTCGGTTCGAATTCGGTTAATTAACCGAATTAACCGAAATTAAATTTTAAATATTAAATATATTATATATAACATATGGGCTCAACCCAAATCATTTAAAACCTAATTAATAATTTAAGATCTAATAACTTTTAAACTTAAATCAATATTAATTAATTAAAAAATTATATAAATTTTTTATTTTATAATTATATATTATTTAAATTATTTGTAAACTGTTTTTTAATTAAAAAATATTAAATATATTATATATAACATATGGGCTAAGCCCAAACCATTTAAAACCCAATTAATAATTTAAGATCCAATAACTTTTAAACTTAAATCAATATTAATTAATTAAAAAAATTATCTAAAATTTTTATTTTATAATTATATATTATTTAAATTAATTATAAACTTTTTTTGAATTAAAAAATATTTAATTTTTATATAAATTAGAAAATTTTTAAAAAAATTTCGTTAATTCGAAATTAACCGAATTAACCGAAATTTATTCGGTTCGGTTAATATGTTCGAAAAAAAATTCGGTTCGGTTAACGGTTAAAGAAAAAAAAAGTTTGGTTAATTCGGTTATGGTTAATTCGATTCGGTCGGCCACCGTTTTAACCGAATGAACACCCCTATGGAAGACAGACCTACGTTCTTGACAACAAAGGTGTGGTTCAACTCATTTACAACAATCAGTTTCAGCCCGAGAAACATATCGATGAAACATTAAAAATACTTCAGAACCTGTAAAACCTTCTGTTAACTGCTCCTTTTTGTTCTTTCCTCCATCTGGTACTTGCATATGCGTTGGTGGTGTTGGACAGGTGTTCGTTTTGTATGATTCAAAGTTCAAAACCCCCCATTGTTCTTGCTATGACTGACCAGCTGATCATTTGTATTCTTGGGAATAAATCTACAGATCCTGGTAGGATTTTTACAAGGTATGAGAATTTTGCGTAGATTCTATTATGTTCAATTGCCAACATAATTTGATGCTGTTTAGCTTGTGGGACAGACTCAATGTGCATGTACCGTCATCCAATTTTTCTCTTACAACCTCAATAAAAATACTTGGTATATAAACCAAAACCAAGGGATTTTCCATAGAGATGTGAGATTCTTTTAAAATATAGAATGTTCATTTTACAACAATCCCCACATATTTTAAAAGAATGATAAGACGAATAGAAAGGAGTATAGTTGAATATTTTGACATAACATATTCATTTTGGTTTCTTTTTGGACTTTGAACTAGAACTTAGAAAAATCAGACATAGTTTACCAGGTAATTGGTGAAACACGTTTCTATGAACCAATAACTCATTGTGTAAACTAACATTCTCATTTATCATGTTACATCTATTCTTGTTCTTAAGTGCGTGCGTTTGGGTTTTCATTAAGTACTCTAGAGTATTTCCTTGGACGACATTAGCTATGGATGTAAACTCTCTTCGATTGATGGTTGTTACTTCCTTTTGGTTTGTTTTCTCTATGATAATATAGGTGATCTGTTCTTTTAGAGAGAGTTATTTGTGTTTGTGTTTAAGTTGTTGTTTGTAGTCATTCTAGGATGGAGGTAATTTTCCAATCAGTAGTCCTACAACAAACTCATCTTGCAAGCTGATATTCTCTGATTTTTTGTCCTCGTCATCATGCATATCTAGAATGGAGTGATTGAGTTCTTGTCACCTTTTGAAGTTATTTTCACCGAATATTTTAATTCTGGAGATGTCTAGGAACAGTTTGACAAAGGTAGTAGAGGGCGGTACTTGAACTGTTTCGGATACACGTGGGCCATCATTGGTAGGATTTATAGTATGCGTTTGGTTGGTGGTAGCCAGAACAATGGCATCGATGGTTGTGTCGACCATAGGGAAGTATTCTTAGGATTGTAATAAAAAAAATGGTTATTGAATTGATATTATTAAAAGAAAAGTTGAGGGTTAGGACTTAGGATCCATAAATACTTTTAAGGGTGGACACATGTATATTATTAACAGAAAATTTTTGTATAGGGTAGATACAAATAAAATTTCAAGGTTGATATCAATATTAATGAAAACTAATGTAAAAGAATTTAGATTTCAGAGTCTGCAGAGAAATTTGAGGATCGAGATTGTTGAAGACGAGCTGGACATTGTCTTTGAGGATATTTTATAGAGAAGATGTATCCTACATGATTTGACGAACACTTGTGTGAAGTAGGAAATAAGAGATGATTTAAGGATACTCAACCGAAGAGAAGAGAATTAAAACTGGAGCGGGAGAGAATATAAAGGAAGACAATAGAGAGAAAATAAATGATGTGGAATGATTTATCAAGTTATATTCATCGACTTTTTGAGATTTATAGTAATAATAATAACAAAATCACATTTTCTGACTCTTCCACCTAATTTTCCTACTAACATTATGAAGTTTTAGGGTGTGTTTGTTTGCCGTAATTAGAATTATAAAATTAGTTTTTCTCGAAATTCCGTATTTGTTTCATATAATTTGTTTTCCGGAAAATGTTTTCCGTGTTTGTTTCACGTAATTTGTTTTTCGGAAAATATTTTCCCGTGTTTGTTTCACGTAATTCGTTTTCCGGAACGTAATTCATTTTCCTAGTAACAGAATTTCCTTTGTGTTTTCTGTAAAATAACTTACGGATTCATTTTTCATAAGTCATTTTCTAAACTTTTCACTTCAAAGTAAAAATATTCAAAATAATTTTATTTTATGAATTTAATATTAATAAAATATTTTAATATCATTTTCATCAAAATATTAATTATTAAAATATTTAAAATATATTTATTAATATTTATAATAATATTATATTTTTAATATTATATAAAATAATCAATTATATTATAATAATATAAGATATTATATTTTTATTTTAATAATATATAATAATTTTTTTTATATATTTAATAATGAATAATTTTATTTATATATTGAAATAATATTTTAGTAAAGATATTTAAAATATACTAATTAATATTTTTAAAATATAATATGCCACTATTACTTTAATATATAATTAATATAATTTATAATATTTTATTTCACTAAAATATACCAATATTAATATTTTTATTAATAAAATTATAAAAATAATATTTAATAATAAATAAATTATTTTAATATTTTAAAATAATAATATTAAGTTTTATGATAAATAATATTATTTATTATATTTAATATTTGTAATAAATAATTTTTAAAAAACTCTTCAACTAGTGGAAAAATGTTTAAATAACATCTTCCAAGCATCATAAAACGTTTTCCCAGATGTTTTCCAGAAATGTAATTCATTTTCCAGAATTCAAATTTTAGTAATTCATTTTTCAATAATTCAAATTCCAGTAATTCATTTTCCGAAAAACCAATTACAGTCAAACAAATAGACCCTTAATTTCTCTCATTTTCCCCTTAAAGAAATTGTGATCCAACAGAAACAATCACCATTTTGGTGTGTTTTATAAAAAGTTATGGAAAATATACGAAATATAACGCCAACGTTCCATCCTTGACTATAAAATCTAGCTCTCCAACTGAGCATTGCCCAAGCATATACACTCGCTTAAACAATATCCTAAATCGATGAAGATTCCTTTCTTTATACTTACAGTTTTTCTCTTCCCTCTCCTCTCTGCCACGGTCACCGCTGCTTCAAAGCATGGTGCACCACAGGATCCGGTACGTTCAGCGTGCATCCATGCCAGTTACCCTGGGCTCTGCCTTCGCATGCTATCTTCCTATTCTGGCTCTGCCAACACCCCACGAGTCTTGGCCCAGGCTGCCGTCAAGGTGAGCCTGTCCTGTGCTCGAAAATTGTCAAGCTACTTGACGACGGTAACTGTTACGGGGAAGAGCAAGAGGGAACGAGCTGCAGTTAGTGACTGTATGGAGCAGGTAGCTAAGTCGGTAGACGAGTTGAGCAAGACACTGGGTGAGTTGAGGCGCTTGAGAGGGGAAACTTTCGAATTCCATATGAGCAATGCACAGACATGGGTGAACGCGGCGTTAACAAACAAGGACACGTGTCTTAATGAGTTTGAAGGAGTTGATGGGAAGAAGATGATCATGAGTGTGGCTAAGGTTACCAGTAATGCTCTTTATATGATTAATAGGCTTGATGGAAGTCAAGGTAGAGACCAGTTGAATCCTTGATGATCATGATGATGAGGAATAACATCAACTGCTTTGATTTAGATTACTTACAAATGTTTAAGTTGTTTTTAAACCATGTCATGATTATAATGTTTGTCCGGTTTCAAACATATATAAAAACATGAAGTCAATGGCCCATGTCAACTGAAAAAACAAAATCTCCATTTCAGCTTCTAAATTTGAAGAGAAATGTGAGATCTTAAAACACAACAATGAAACTCTAAACATCATCTTTCCTTCCTAACTAGATCCACACAGTCGGGTGTTTTACCTTACTTCCTATGATAACCCTTTTCTGGGACCGATGTCCATCGACCGGACTAGGCTTCCTGAGCCCTCTGCATGATGTAGCTGAACTCTATATTAACAGTTTGCAACCAAATAGCTACTGGAATATGCATAGATCAGCAGCTGTTGCTGACATAATGAATTTACGTACCTTTGGTTAATCCAAATATAAGAAAACAAGGGACGATTGATGCTGGAAAAATACGTTTACTTGTATGAAGCAAATATGATCGAGGAGTTGTGGCCGCCAAATCCAAAAGAATTAGATAATGCTGCCTTAACATTCAGTCTTTCTTTCTTTGGTCCAACAAGCACATTTGTGTCCTGCATTAGATGTGTTGTTGGCAAACATAAGAAACGTCTCATTGGTAAATCAAGGAGAAAAGAGAAAGGAAAAGATAAAGAGTTATATTTGGTTATAGAGAACGAATCAAATAAAGAAGAAAAAACTACAGCTGTATTAACATGTCACAAAGCAAAAAACTGCCACAAAGCATAATTTTAAAGGAAACAACGAAGAAATATATGAGGGGAAGGGGCAACTACCACTTCTTCATCCGGGTTTTCCAGGTTGATATTTGGATGAACCCAACCAGTCCTTATCGCCTGTACAAGGGATAGAAATTAGGCTGACGTGCAGATTCCAAAAATGAAAAAATAAAAGGAGAAAGAGAAGGAAATAGAATGGGACGAAGCAAGGTAACTGCAAATGAAAAAGCTTCACCAGATTGAGCTGTATCACAACAATTTAACAGGGGAGTTGCCACCACGGATACCTGATCTTCCTCTCTTGAAACAAATCGATATCTCCTCCAATCATATGCACCGGAAGACCCTGCAGGATTTGCAGGGATATCTCCACCAATCATATGTACTATTTATATATTAGTAAATGCTAAGTACTTAATTATACTATATATCTTATTCCCTTAATAAATAAAAGAGGTAATGTATTTTCATAAGGGGGTCTAGGGAACATCTTAAGTTGAAGGATTTGATTCTTAAGATCGCTCGTACCAAGGGATATCATCCTTAATATCTGAACGATTTTGAATTAAATATTTATATTTTAATGTTAAAATTAAAGCATTGCCCTTTCATAAGGGAACTTATGAAATCATCTCCTAAGTGACATATGTACAATTTTAAGAATTATTTGAACGAAAAGATATCATTCTCATTTTTAAATAAGATCAAAATATATGTATTATTCATCTCATGCATGTCATTCATAACATTCATAGTATGTTTTTGAATTATAACTAAAGTAATGTTGTTTCATTCTAAAATTCTAAATATTAACGAGAGAGTGTTCTGAGTGGTGAGACAACGATCTCATTAATGTTTTGGAATAAAAGGACACTATTCTAAAAATGAATCATCTAGCGAATCAAACCATTTTTTTTATAAAAAAAAAAGTATAATATTTAAAAAGTTCACACATTTCAAATAATTGTAAGAATAGGAGGATTATGAGTTAAATTTATATTTGAATTTGCAAATACTATTACTTAGGGTGTGTTTGGTTTGGGGAATGTGAGATTCCCCTGGGAATGGAATCCACATTCCTCGTTTGGTTGGTCGTGAATGTCATTCCCGGTAATCTTACATTACCAATAGTGGATTTTTTGGGGTATATTACCGGGAATGTCATTACCTCTCTTTCCTTAGGTATTGTTGGATTACCGAAATTTTGGACTAAAATTCCCTTAAAACTTTTTTTTTTCAAAAATATCCTTATTCTATCATTGAATAATAAAAATTTTACGAATATTAAATTACAAATTTATCCTTAAACTATTTTAGATTTACAAAAAAAAACCTATAATTAAAATTTTATATGAAGTTCAGAGGTTAAAATAAAATTTTACCCTTTCATTAAACCTTTTTATATTTTCAATTTTGTAAAAAAAATATATATAAATTTTATGAATTTAAATTTTTAAAGAAAATATATAAATCTTATAAAAATATATATATAAATATTTTCCAACTTGTTAAAAAACAAATATATAATAAGGACAATTTGGTCAAATATACATTCTAATAATATTTTATTTCTTTAACCAAACACGGTAATCTTACATTCCTGCTAAACCAACCAAACACAAAATACAACATTCCCAGTAATCCTATTTCCTGGTAATCTTTTATTCCCACTGGTAATCTTACATTCCGTGAACCAAACGCACCCTTAAAAACAATACATAATCCGATAGGTATTAATTTTGAGTATTGTTGGAGTGTTTATCCTTTCTCGCATAATCAATTTCCGACCTCTTAAAAATAAATTTTTGATTATTTGTAAACACGTAAAAATATTTCTCTAGATACTCGACCATCCTGACCCAAATATAAAGATACAAACAAACCATCACCTTAATGTTGCGTTTGGTTCACAGAATGTAAGATTATCAGTGGGAATAAAAGATTACCAGAGAATAAGATTACTGTGAATGTTGTATTTTGTGTTTGGTTGGTTTAGTAGGAATGTAAGATTATCGTGTTTGGTTAAAGGAATAAAAGATTATTGGAATATATATTTTACCAAATTGTCCTTATTATATATTTGTTTTCTTAACAAATTAAATTCTACTATAATATTACTATAATTAATTTATATATTTTCTTTAAAAATTTTAAATTCATAAAATTTATATAATTTTTTTATAAAATTGAATAGATAAATAGGTTTAATGAAAGGGTAAAATTTTATTTTAACCCCTGAACTTCATATAAAATTATAATTATGAACTTTTTTGTAAATCTAAAATAATTTAAGGAAAAATTTGTAATTTAACCTTCGTAAAATTTTTATTATTCAATGACAGAAGAATTATAATTTTGAAAAAAAAAAATTAAGGATATTTTAATTCAAAACGCTGGTAATCCAACAATACCTAAGAGAAGGAGTAATCACATTCTCGATAATATACCCCAAAAAATTCACTGTTAGTAATAAAAGATTATCGGAAATAAGAATACTAGCCAACCAAACGGGAGAATGAAGATTTCATTCCCCTGATAATATTGTATGTCGTGAACCACACGGCCCCTAAATCCCACATTGATTGTTATGATAGTTAGTCTTTTAAAACCAAAAGATCCACATCATCTTCATCAAAGTGTAATAAAAATGTAAGATGTTGCTATTAAAACTCTTCAAAGACATCAGGAAACCTCAAATTACATGAGAATTGAACCCTTTTATTTTTCACCCAAAATTTCCCCCCTTAGATGCCAAACACTGGAATCTTCTTTTTAAAGAAGATGATGCAATCAGTTGTACCCCTAAAATACATCACATCAGACAACTACGCGAGCACGGCCATTACATCGGATGCTCTCAGGGCAATATAATTGGTGCCGTCACTGCCCTTGAAATCATTGCCTGCATACTTGGAATACAGGACCGTGTTCCCGGGGGGAACGGACAATTGCTTTTTGTTACCTTCCTCGTCCAAAGAACCAGGTCCAACAGCTATCACCTGTTTCATTCAAATGAAAAGTATAAGTTGCAACATATAAAGTACCATAGTGGAAAGCTATATACGTTTCCCACAAGATTATAACTGTTCCTTAAACTCCCGATGGAAGGTTTCTCCTTGCTTGCCTCTGTCAACAACAAATCTCCAGCAGTTTTCTCCTCGGCTTTTGCAACCTGCAGCCAACATTCAAACAAAAAACATTAAGCACCTTCAAAGCCCGTGCACCACCATGGTGGCATCAACCCTAATAAAAACCTCTTAGTGTGGTCCAAATACTTGTGTACTAAAGAGTAACTGATTCAATCGCAGCATAGTAACCAAACCAAACTAACAGATTTTGGATGGATACAAAACCTTAATGAAAACTCTGTCATTCAAAGGCTTGAGATCTTTGATGTCGTCTGTTTCAAGAATCCCAACGATATCGTCCTCCTTCATATGACCGTGGCTCCAGTCTATATAAACATAGCATAGTGTAAGTTACATGCAACAAATAGAAAAACCAGGACCGCTATCTACTCTGCAAAGTCCACCTTAACAGAGCTTTCCAATTTGGTCTTCCCAACTGTCTTCCCTTCACCAACAGCAACCACCTCACCTCCTTGAGGCTTTGATTGAGCCGTTGTCGGAAGCAAGATGCCACCGTCTTCTCCTCGGCTTCTTTGATCTTCACCAACACTCGATCATGCCACGAGTAGCCAAACCGGAATAAGGATCATCAAAATTATCAGCTCACAACAAATTCACGTAGTTTTATTCATAATGCAATGAAAGTTCAAATATAAACATCAACATACTTCAAAATTTTCAGTGAATTGCTCTACACTAGTTTAAATCTAAAAAATCCAATCACTCCAACATTGCTTTATCATTACACAGTAACCACAAGACAATGGTAACATATTCTGAAGCAAACTCCCAATTAACTCAATAACAACAAAGCAATGGAACCAATGAAATTATTACGGGAAATTACCTTAGGAGCAACAACAGTAGCCGCTTTAACAACCAAACTCTTAAAGGATCTGTGGTGCAAAGACCCAGGCTTTAAACGTCCCAAAGAAGAGAATTTCGCAGTGTATTACTATAGCTCTTCAAATGAAGCCAAGTTCTTTGCTGAAACCGACACTGATGATGCGGCTAGCTGAAATGTGGCCATTCCTGTATTTATATTTCCCAAAACAAAAAAAAAAACAACATTCAATTATTGAACACAGAATTTCTTAATAAATATAGGAGAGAAGAGAAATTATGCGTTGAAGAGACCGAAAGAATATACCTTTAGAGAAAATTGGGGGCTTTGGTGGAAGCGACTGAAAATGAAAAGCTTGGCTTGATTGCTTGAAACTCCAAAAGTGTAGGGAAGAAAAGAGTAAAAACCCTAGAGTTTTATAATTGTTTTTGTTTATTTTGGTAAACGATCTCTTAGCTCCCTCTGAATATCAAATTTGGTTACACTGGTCCCTCGATAAAAAAAAGTTCATACTTCCAATTTCGAAAGTAACAATTATAGAAAATTAAAGGGGTAAACTATTAAATTGATCACTTTTTTCATATTTGTATACTTTTACTCATCAAATTTTAAAAAATAAGTTTTTGTCACTTATGTTATCAATTTATTAAATTTTAATTACTTGCATTACTGTTGTTATATTTTGACCACTAAATTATTAATCCTTGTTAATTTGATGAGGTGACACATTAGTCAAAAGGGATTAATTTTTTATTTTATCATTAAATTTTATATATAATACTATTTTAACATTGAAATATCATTTTGACCACTAAATTTTAAATAAAATTTCAAATTGACCCATAAATTTGATCAATGCCTCCCATCATCTGACGTCGCTCACCATTGTCGCCACTGGTCACCATTGACTATCGTCACTATTGTCACCGTTATTGTTATTATTTATTTATTTTTTAATTTTTTTTTTCTATTTGAAAGCCTTCTCCCTACATTAAAAAATCATTTAGTCAAAATTTCCCACCTTTAATTATTCATTCACTAGAAATATCAAGCTTATGAATGCTCAAGTGTCTTATTAGTAAAGTGCTCATCGAATTCTCATAATTCCAGTCACCGCAGAAAGGAACGAATTCAAATTTGATAAGAACAATGACAAATAACTATTATTTCAATCTTTTCTGGTTTATAATTTCAACAAATCACAGTTGATACATTTAATCTAATTTTGTTTCAGTTCTCAAAGGTGACATCTTCAACTTGTATATGTCTATCAAACCTAATTAAGAATATTACATAATTAATATATATTTTTATAAAATAATTATAATTAATTATAATCACATTTAACCTAAAAATTGTAGTGGTAAAGAATGTTGAATCAAAATGTCATTAATTTTATCATTTTGATTGATTGTAGTGGTTGTGCCATAGAGGATTCATAAACTATAAAATCATTTTTTTTTATTTTGTATCGAATAAAATGGTGACGAATGTTAAGTTCAAATGTCGCTAAGAGTTTAAACGATTTCTAACGGAATAAGTTAATAGATAATATCTTAAAAATGAAGTGACTTAATTATTTATATATTTTTGGAATATATTATTTTTACAAACGACCTAATATATTGTGCTTGTAAAGACATAGTTTAGTAAAGGGTGATGTACTCAATAAATAAAGTAAAAAAAATAGAATGAAAAATGATTACATTATACAATTTTAGATGAGTCAAAACATTATTAATTCTTAAGTTGCACAACTTATCCTTGTCTTAATTTAGACGTAAGTAATCATGCATGACATGTTTAATTTAGACTCAGTTCATTTAAAACTATCTGAGCATTGAATTAACTTTTTTTTCTTCAAATGAATCGAAGATAGATAGATGGCGGAGGTACGAAGAAAAACTACACCGATGCTTTGCTTTACATTTCTTCTTCGATTAAATTACACTTTTAGTGCAATATTGTTTTTATATATGTTAACATTAGTAGAAAGTAGATGGGACGTACAAAAATTGCAACCTCCAAAGATGTGGATGCTGAAGTGCGTAGGTTGGAGTTTTAGAAATTCCATAGAAAAGATTCAGGATGATTCCCATCAACAGTATCATCTTCACAGACAGGAATGGTCGATCCCAGAAACTCACTGGAAAATTCATCCCATTCAGGGAATATCCCGTACCCCGAACCCCTTTTCAAAACATCCAGAAACGATCCCTCCGCAGCAAACTCACTCTCCAACCGTACGGTCTCCACTGAAACCGACGGCGAAGGGGATTCCGTTTGGGTCCTCGGAGGGTTCGAGTTGGCGAAACGTGCGGCGACGGTTTGGATTTCGGAGGGGGTCAAAGACCTACCATTGGCTATTTCCGGTGGGTTATGAGGGAAGTTGAACTTAGCAGAACGGCCGCGTAAGCAGAAAAGAGCGGCGTCGAAAGCACGTGCTGCTTTCTCGGGAGTGTCGTAAGATCCCAACCAAATCCTTTCACGACTGTTGGGTAGTCTGATCTCCGACACCCATTTCCCCCATTTTCGCTTTCGAGCACCTTTGTATTGTGCATGGCTTCTCTCACTCTCGGCCTCGCTCGCAGGGTTCTGCCTTGCGTCTTGTTTCACCATTGTTGATGGTTTTGGTTTGAGAAAATATGGGAATTTGCGGCTCTAATATATATACGTGGAGTGGCGGAGGTCTGACTGGAGAGTGATCAGTCAAAGAAAGTGAGGCGCGTTTGATTTGGATTTTAGAAGCTAAAATGATGGACACGTGGCGTACGAATGTAACTAGATACGCGGGGCGGGTTCGGGTGAAAAAAATTCATTTCCACCACGTGGGCCTTGTATTACTCGTGCCCAAATTCATCATCTAGAGCCGTATTATTTATTTAGTTTGGGTTAATTATAGTATAATCCCCAAAATATGGCTATTTTCTACATTATTTTTTAAACTTTGAAATGTTTCCATTGAATCTTAAACTAAAGTATCACTCCAATTAGTCCATTATAATAATGTATATGTTTGTTTTGGGGTTAAATAACAGCTTTGATATAATGTAAGTTTTTTAATGGTTCTTAGGGTTGACTCAACTTAATCTCTAATACCATTAAATGTAATATTCTAAACTCGACTCGCAATATACAACGGACTTAAGATGTTATATTTGGACACTGGAGTTACCACTAAAATCAAATCTTTAAAATTTTCATCAAACGTGAACAAGAGTTTCAAAACATCCATTTTGAATAAATCTATGAATATATAGAGTAAAAACATTTATACAAAATCGGAGCTTCGAATATGACATAGTATAAATCAAACTAAGTCAATGGAACAGTAATAGAGTTGCTGACTAAATATTAGCAATATCCTATGAAAAACACATGGCCACTAAAAAGACCAAGTATTACAGTCTGAATAGATGAAGCTGTTCCCCGGGAATGAATAAATGTCTATGTAAACAAAAATAAATAAAAAATTGAGCTTTACAAATTTAGTGGTACACATTCACTCTACAATACTTCATGCAAGTTCTAAACATAAACATATAGGCATGACACACATTTTATGCAACTTAAGCATCAAGCTTATCAAACTAATTAATCATGAGCAAAGGTTTACTTCAATTACTTCTACATAACAACTTCTGATACAGGCATAGTATATAGGTGGTATCATTTTCTCAATACTCAAATCTACTCATTGGGTAAATTAACATAGGGAAGTCAAACAATTATATGATGAAACTAATAAAATTTCACATATGTTCAAATAGTATGTGATATCTGGATAATTCCTCGCCACATATGGTCACAATCAAATAATAATAATATCAAGTCTATTATGACTCACCCACTTATAGTCACAAATCAAATCGATGCCACTCATGATTGTAATTCGAATCACTGCCCGTAGGCTACACATTACTGTTTTATCAAATTTGCTAATCATCGTCACAATGTTATAATGCCGAAAGCGTTATTTCTTAATAGGCATTAGCCAATATTAAAGTTATTTGGAGCTTCATACTTGATTCATTCTTATTTAAGGTATATTATACTTAAGGGAAAAGTTAGTCATTTCAAGACTCATGGCGCTTTATATATATATAAGTCACTAATTTTATTAAAATTAAAAAATATTCAAATTATAATGAAGGTTTACAAATATAATCATAAACTAAACACATAATAAGGATATTTTATGTAATCATTATTAACACAAGAAAATTAGTCACTTAAGATCACGCAATGATCATACAAGAAAAATGTTAAAAACCCTAACCAAATAAAATCGAACATATCTAATTGCACCGACAAACGTACCATAAAAGATGATCAAACAATTGAAATACCATCAATAAATCGCAAATCAAAATCGAGCGGCATGAAAAAAAACTATCCACAAACACAAATCAAGTATCTAAATCCAATCCAATGATCAAAAACAGCGAAAATCAATATGATAACAAATAAACGTCATCTTAATCAGTCGTGAAGATGTCAAATCAACATTTGATAAAAAAATGATAAATAAAAAATAATGGTCAAAATACTGAAAACATGTCATAAAAGATAAAAAAAGTACCATATAGGTAAAGGAAAACGAATCATAAAGATTAAGTTACTAAAAATTTAAAAACAATGGTAAAGTAAAAAATATGCTATAATAAAATAAATAAAAAACAATGAATATCAACCGTTGACGATTAATACCAAAGTTGATGTTACCGCCTATTAAATATAAAGAAATAGAAAGACCAACGACAACCAAAGAAAGAGAAAAAATTAGTACAAACCGTAATATCTCGTAACTTTTTTTTAAGTATTATAATATTTTAAGTCTTTTATATTTATGCTTACATAATTGAAAGAGCCTATGGCAGAAAAGTTTTCTCGGAGTCAAATAAACTAGAAAATAAAATGGCCGAATATAATATTTAAATAAATTTTATAATTTTAAGGAGATTAAATCATAGAATTAATATTTTAAAGATAAAGTATGATTTTGATGATAATTTAAGATAATTTGAGTTTTTTTTATTATTAATTTAAGATAAGTATAAGATAGTATACATTCAATGATAACTTAAAATAATTTGATATTGAACGCTCGTACCCTTGACATTATTGATGTACAAACTCGAGATCTCAAATAATAACAACAATTTTTTTTACTACCGATGTCAATGGAATTCATGCTATAATTTAAGTTTATATATACGTTTTATTTTTTTGAAGTTTTATATATATATGTTTTAGGTTCTACAAGTTTTGACCGTTAATTTTTAAGGCTTAAATACATTTCAAGTCCTTATAAGTTTGCAAAGTAATTAAATTCAACTTTACCTCCCACATTTTCTAGTTTAAAAATTCATTTAATCAATGTCACTGTTAAAATTGGACAAACTAATATTGAACCCCTATTTTTTAATTTAAATATTTTTAAGTTAATTAATTAGGTGGTCTAAATAGTAAAAAAATATTTTCTTTAAAAGACATAAATTCAAACAATTACATCTACAAAGTTTGTGTGCGATATTAAATATATATTATTTTATAATCATCTCCGACCATTCATATATATATATATATATTAAGTTCTAGCAATTTTAAAACTATATCAATTTGGCCCTAATGTTATCTATCGGTTCCATTCCTACTAGAGATGCTATCGGTATTAGCACAAAAGTAATACAACATTAGATACAGTTTGTAAAAATATCTAATGATCAATTATTTATCTTCCACTCGTATTATTGATTCGAATTAAATTGATTTTTCATTATTTTGATTTAATAATATTTCACACTAAATTTAATTAAATAAGACAACTAATGCCATCGTTTTATTCAACTGGAATCCGCTCACATTATTTTCAAAATTGGACAAGTAAATTTAGGTTATATAGTGGAATATATATATTTCTGGATTACAAAAGATTAGCAAAGGTGGCACGTGGACGTTTCTTGTTGTTCATACTTTCACATTTCAATCACTATCCTTATAGATCTTATGACATCAAAAAGATGCCGCGCTGTGAATTGTTATGGCCCTAATTTCATTCTATGTTGACATGACACTTTAAATAAAAATAAGAAATGCAATAGTAGATTTACACTTAAAACTCATATAAAAAATATGGGATTTATATTAAGCACAAACCTAAAGAGGAAGGGGGTATGCTAGAAAAATAGAAACTACATTTAGGGATTGATATTTGATTGGAGTCCAATGAATTTTAATCTAATATAATTTTGTAATATCAATTTATTTAAAATAATGGGTAAATTACATGTTTAATATCTAAATTATTGCTTTTGTTTCATTTTGGTACCCCAAATTTATTTTGTTTTTTAAATCATACCTAATGTTTTGTTTAGATTTCATTTTGGTACCCGGTGTTAAAAACTTAACGGTGATGTTGATGTGTCATTATAAAATAATTCCACGTCATCATTAAAAAATTAAAATATGTCATGCCAATATTTCTGTTAAGTTTTTAACGACATAGTACTAAAATGAAACCTAAACTAAACATTATGTATGATTTCAAAAAAAATAAAGTTTAAGCATCAAAATAGAATAAAAATAATAGTTTAGGTACTAAACTTGTAGTCTGGATCAAGTCAATTTTTTTTAAAGAATGGTGAAAAGTCGGATTGATTTTGATTTTAAGGTAAAAAAGTACTCAGATCCATAAATAATAGTATGATGACCTTTATACATTTAGTGATAATTGTTATAATCCCATCTATTTATATATATATATATTTCAATTAGATTTTTATTTAAGTTAAGTCGGGTTAGGTGTAAGTTTTTACCTTAAAATTAAGGTCAAACTTTAGGTATAGTGAAATTTCTCTAAATCTGAATCGAATCATGTAACAGGTAATCAAGTTCGGATGGATAAAAACTTAATCCGACTCGACCAATAACCATTCCTAATTCCCTATCTAGATATTTGGAAATCGTTATTATTAGAAAAGGAAGATGTTGAAAGGGTGTGAAAGTAACCCAAAATCATCCATATCTCATTGAAAAGCAAAACATAGATTTGTATGATATTTATTTTTGTACTTTAAGATTGATAAAACACCATAATTTAACTGGTTGTGCTAACAAGACAAGTGTTGTGTCCCCATCTATTGATAAACTTGGGGAGAGAAATTGTGAGCAGAAGTCGTCATGTGGAATACTGTTCCTAGGGCTGCTACTTGTATTCCCACACGATAAATTCTTTTGATTTTTTTTTTCATCATCAAACCAATGAATAAAATTGGATCAGTTTTCCACATTAAATTGACCTACTACACAAAACAATCAATAAGAATTCGTGTTTTGATTGCATGATAATGGAATTTGAGACTAGTGACAAACGTGTTGCCTAATTCAGATTCCCCACGTGTCTTTTTCATAAAAAATCATTAGTACACTTTTAAGGGTACGTTAGAAGTTAAATTTGTTTTTAATGATAAATTTATTTATAACACTTTATTTAATTAAATATGAGTTTATGATTGAAATTTTAACTAAAAGAGATTAAGATTATTTAGAATTAATGTTATTTAAGTTATCCGTATACTTTCATCATATAAATATACATTCCTTTGTGGATTTCAGACTCAGACACTTTA